ACACACACACACACACACACACACACACACACACACACACACACACACACACACACGGTTCCTTTCATGTTCACTCCGTCACAAAGCTCAATTTATCAAGGTCAGCTGAAGGAGCTGAGATGCTTTTTTGTTCATATTAGTGTCAATAAACTCACTGTTTTATAGYTTTTATTAAAAAATTCTGCTTTAGAGGCAGAAAACCTGTTTTTATTAGAAATTAATTCAAGAAATTAATTCCAGACGATTAAAAACTGCTTCGTTGTCAGAACATSAGAAGGTTAAATTTCTCTTATTTATGTATTTTTATTTGAAAACTGGTCTTTTTATTTAGAACTTTCTCCTCCTCAGGTTGAAATCAGCATCCCGACGCTGCCCCGCCTCAGGAAGGACGACCAGCTGCTCTGTGCTTTCGTCTACCTCAGCCACGGGCAGCTTCTTAATTTCACCACCGAAGCCGCGGCGGTCCAAGACGATCCGGTTCTGGTGCAGTGCTCGCTGCCCTACCCCGAGATAATCCCGCCCACTTTACCTCAGCAAGGTACACAGATCTGGAAAGTACTGATAGCTTGTGCAGCTAACTAGCTAAAGTTTTGAATTTTATGTGGGATTCATAAAGTATCTTTTTCTCTTAGAGAAGTAACTAGATGTAGCAAAAGGCTAGCTAGCTCATTTCCTTTAAAAACTTCATATTAACTTTCTTTTGCTAKTCTGGTTTTGTTTTCTTTTTGTCCCTTCAGCTTTCAGCTACTATTGTGCTACTTTTATCTTTTAGCTAATGTTATGCTACATTAAGCTTTGTTTAGCTTGTCTTTTCCAACYTGCTATTTTTTAGCTTTAGAAACACTTTTGCTACCTTTGTATACGGCTTCTAGTTTTAACTCTTAGTTTGATTTTTTTACTTTAGCGTACATTTTGCTTCTTCAAGCTACATTTAAGCATTTGTTTTGCTAATTTTAGTTYCTMTTGTCTTATCTGRAGCTAKCATTTAGCTAAAWTTTTTTTCTGTTGTTTTTTCTGTTAGTTGTTGCTGTTGCACTATCAGTAGTGATCGCTATTTTTAGCTACTCTGTGCTGATTTTAGCTTTAGCACCTGGCTTGCTATTTTTGTATACCACTTTTCTGATGACCTTTGTTTTCCTAATTTCAGTTTTCAGTTTGTTTATTTAACTTTAGCCAACATTTTGGTTCCTAAAGCTACATTTATGATTTGTTTTGCTACTTTTAGCTACTGTTGTCCGATCTGTAGCTACCATTTTGCTAATTTTAATAATTAGTTTTGCTACTTTTTTTGTTACAGTTTCACAAATTTTTAATTTGTTTGATTATATTTAGCTACTGTTTAGTTAAATGTATTGACAGTTTTGTTACTTTTAACCGTAGCATCTATTATGCTAATTAAGCTACAGTTTTGATGGCTTCATGTTTTGCTGCTTTGAGCTACTATTTAATTTAATCTTTACCTCTTGTTACATGCAGCTAACGTTTGGACACTTTTATTTAGTTATTTTTATTTTGGTCCTTTTTTAGCATTTATTTTATAGCTTTACGTCTCTGCAAATTGTAGCATCTGTTGCTARTTTTAGCTACTGTTAGCTACTTTTAGCTACTGTTCTGCTGCCTTTAGTTTTGTTTGGCTTGTTTTACCCATTCTAGCTTGTGTTCGGCCTGTTTTAAAATGAAAATTTTTTTAGCTACRGCAGCACATTTCAGCAGCTGTTTAGCGGTTCGCGTTTAGCTGATAAGCTGCAGAGTTGAACCCGTCTGTTTCTGCAGACTACGTGTCGGTCCCGGTTCAGGTTCTGTTGAACAGAACCATCGAGCTGACGTCTGGAGAATATCACTTCTACAACTGTGCCGCTACCGTCAGGAAGAACGAAAACACACCGTGAGTTCAGCACACACACACCCACACACACACACACACACACACAGAGCTCCCAGCTGAAACAGGAAGTCAGACGTGTTGTGTGTCCAGGTGTATTTCCTGTGTGACCAGTCAGTGGGGCTGTCAGTGGGACGCTCAGCGTCACGTCTGCAGCGACCAGAACGACTCTGTGGGAGGAGATCACGTGGTCAAACCTCAGCAGGTAGTTTCACAGACGTTTTGTTTCTGCCGAGTCATGATTAAAACCGCTGAGTCGTGAGTCGGTGACATCACCTGACCGAATGTTCGTCCTCCTCCCGATGAAGCCAGAGAAATGTCCTCAGTTCGAGTCTCCGGAGCCACGGCTGATCCCCGTCGGCGTCAAGATCCCCGTCAGCTTCCAGGGGAGGAACCTGGATATCTACCAGGTGACGAAGACCTCGTTAATCATCATCATCATCYTCAGCTGCCTCTTTTCGGTTGATAACTTTGTCCGTCTGTCTGCAGAATCGGAGGTTCTCCATCGGGACGGAGCTGATGAAGCAGACGGAGGAGGAGGTGATACAGATGGAGGACTCAAAGTTCACCTTCTCAGGGTTCGAGGTGAGTTTAAAAATAAGACACCAAGAACATTTCGGCTGTGATGAGCAAGATTTTTTTTAGCTGTTTTTGTTTTTTACTCAAATTACACAACATAACTGATGTGTGATTAATGAGCTGTTTTATAACGACGACCAGAGAAAGTTGATTAACAAAAACAAACCGCTGCCTAAAAGAAGACAAATACTAGCTAACAGAAAAAGTAGCTCAAATTAGCTAAATGCTGCCTAAAAATTAGGATTAGCAAAGCAGTAGRAAGAGAATAAAAGTTGCCAAAAAAACTAGCAACAAGTAAGAAGTAGCTGAAATGTAAAAACAGCTAAAATGTAGTAAGAAGCTACAAGTAGCAAAAAGGCTAGCTAATGGTTGAAAGCAGTAGCTAGAAGCTAGAAATAGCAAAAGGCTAGCTAAAGATTGAAAGCAGTAGCTAGAAGCTAGAAATAGCAAAACGCTAGCTAAAGATTGAAAGCAGTAGCTAGAAGCTAGAAATAGCAAAAGTCTAGCTAAAGATTGATAGTAGTACCAAGAAGCTAGAAATAGCAAAACGCTAGCTAAAGATTGAAAGTAGTAGCTAGAAGCTAGAAATAGCAAAACGCTAGCTAAATGTTGAAAGCAGTAGCTAGAAGCTAGAATTAGCAAAGGGCTAGCTAAAGATTGAAAGTAGTATCTAGAAGCTAGAAATGGCAAAACGCTAGCTAAAGATTGAAAGTAGTAGCTAGAAGCTAGAAATAGCAAAACGCTAGCTAAATGATTGAAAGCAGTAGCAAAAAGCTAGAAATAGCAAAAAGATAGCTAAAGATTGAAAGCAGTAGCTAGAAGCTAGAAATGGCAAAAGGCTAGCTAAAGACTGAACGTAGTAGCTAGAAGCTAAAAATGGCAAAAGTCTAGCTAAAGATTGAAAGTAGTAGCTAGAAGCTAAAAATGGCAAAAGTCTAGCTAAAGATTGAAAGCAGTAGCTAGAAGGTAGAAATAGCAAAACGCTAGCTAAAGGTTGAAAGCAGTAGCAAGAAGCTAGAGTAGCAAAAGCCTAGCTGATGTATTAAAGCAGTAGCAAGAAGTTAGCAGATGGCTAAAAGCAGCAAAACAGTAGCAAGAAGCTAGAGTACAAAAGGCTAGCCTAAAGAAGCAAACTTGAGGTAAAAATAGAAATTTGGTAGCTAAAAGTAGCCAAAATGTAGCTCAAAATACAAAAACCAAACGTTGGAGCACTCGTCTCCTGATTCACTTGAAGTTTTTGATAAATAAACGACTAAAATACCACAAAGTCTGAATGCTGAGTCAGCGCTACATTGTTAGGTTTCATCTGAAAACTTTCCATCTGAATGTGTTAAAAGATGAGAAAAAAGAAACGTAAACTCACCTAATCTACGTTTAGATAATTATTATTTTGTGGAATCTTTCCCATGACTGTGAATTAGTTTAATCTGTGGTAAATAGAGCCCCGTGTTGTCMGGTGGCGCCCCCTGTTGGCCTGTGAGTTTGTTTCATTTTGAAGAGTCAGKTCAGAGTTTYATTAAAACCCTCCCAGAGYTATTTTGCTAACAGACACTCTCAGGCCTGGTGAGGTTAATAAAACGATCCTTGAAGCCGTCGTCTCGTAGGGGAAGGTGATGAAGAGTTGTTTTAAAGAGAACGGTGACGTCCTGTGAAGAGCTGGAAACACGACTGTGTGTCTGTTTGTTGGCAGTTTCCTTCTGACGAGCAGCAGGAGGTGAACGTGTCCTTCCATATCAAAGACCGAGACAACCAGAGGAAGATCGACAGCACCCTGACAGGTCGGTGTGTCGCTCCGCAGTCACAGGCGGAGAAGAAGGAAACGTGGAAGTTGTCACACCGTTTCTCCTTCCGTCTCATTTCCATTTCAGCTCCAGCTGCGTTGTGATAATCAGCTTCTTCTTCTCCTCCTCCTGCAGTGGTGCTGTACAGCTGCTCTGTGGGGAGAGAGGACTGCAGTCTGTGTAAACACGCCGACGCCAACTATAAGTGTGTGTGGTGCACAGAGTCAAAGACCTGCGTTTACCAGGACCTGTGCCGGTCACCGGAGCCGGACCAGTGCCCGGACCCCCAAATCTCTGATGTGAGTCTTTAAACRGAGGCCTCATCGACCACTGAACCTGCTGCAGAGCCGACTGGTTCTTTTCATTTAAAGTCTTTTTATGAGCAGTCGGTGTCTTACCTGCAGAMAARAGTCATCTCAGGTGGGAAAATCAGGGATTCTTTAGGATTAACTTTCATAGAGAAAAGGAAGTCCACCTTTTTCATGAATCAGAACTAGAGTTGGGTAATTATCTATTTCAGTCCAATTAATTTATTCATTTAACAGCCACACAGCTTTATCTCCTTCCAGCACTTACTTTGCTGCTCGTAAGGGACAGCAGCTGGTTTATGGRGGTGTTTCAMGTGATTAAACAAGTTTGGAGTGTTAGCTGCAGCTCAACTTTAGCTCAGTATTAGCAGTAGCTTCGTATAAAGTTCCACTTTAATGTTAGCTCCACATTAGCATTACCTCTGCGTTGGTGTTATCTCTGTATTAACATTACCTTGTTGTTAGCTTTAGCGCTACATTATTGTTTCCTTTGCATTTAATGTTAGTGATAGCTCAACATTAGCATTAGCTCTAATTTGGTCTTAACTTCACATTAGTGTTAGCTCCACTATAGTACTAGGTCTGTGTTAGTGTTAGCATCACATTAGCGTTAGCTCCAATGTAGTCTTAACTTCATTAGTGTTAGGTCCAAGTTAGCATTAGCTCTGCATAATCTATACCTCTACATTAGTGTTAGCTTCACTGTATTAGTATTAGCTCAACATAAGTGTTACCTKTGCATTAGTGTTTTCTCTGTATTAGCATTACCTTCTTGTTAGTTATTTCAGCATTATTGTTTCCTCTGTAGTGTTTGCTCCACATTAGTGTTGCCTCTGCATTAGATCCACATTAGCGTTAGCCCAAATTTCTTAACTTCACATTAGCGTTAGCTCCATGTTAGTGTTTCCTCCACATTAGAGTTAGCGCAACATTAGCTTTAGCTCCACTTTTGTAATAGGTCTGCGTTAGTGTTAGCTTTGCACTAGTGTTAGTTTCTCATTACCGTTAGCTTTGTATTAGCACTAGCTCTAATTTAGCCTCAACTTCACATTAGTGTTAGCTCCAAGTTAGCATTAGCTCTGCATTATCTTTACCTCTGCGTTAGTGTTAGCTTTGCACTAGTGTTAGTTTCTCATTACCGTTAGCTTTGTATTAGCATTTGCTCCATTTTATTGTAA